TTCGTCGAATGCATGCATGGTTGAATTCCTCGGCATAGCTCACTGCGGCATCTGTTCTTTGCACGCTGTATTTTATTTTTTCGTATATTGCACCCGACCGAGCGGGCTAAATAGGCGTGATCCCCCTTGCAATATCTCTGTGTGAGTGCCGAGGAGCCGAGGGAAGTGCTACGAACTTATTAAATCAACCACTTGCCCGCGCTTCACTTGATTTAAAATTAACGAAATAAGAAATAAAAAGGCATATAAGCAAAAGAAAAGTTCTTCACAGTGGTATCAAATTTCTTTACTCGTAAGAGCTGTGAGAACCAACAAATGCGAACATCCTCATCAAACTCGCTCTGTTCAACCAGATCTCCGCACGCCCAGCAACCGTACGTGCGCACATGTTCCCTTGAAACCGAAAATATAGCGCTGCGTTTCCAAGGCCCGCTATCGCTATGTAGTGCGACAGGCCTGAAATAAGTGCAGAGCTGGGAGACTTGATGATGATGATGGAGGTCCCATACGAATGGCTCAGCCCAATCCGTTGATTTGTCTTATTCGCTTCTCTTGGTTTTCTCTTCCGTATTTTAAGGGGCGAAGCTCCCTTAGCCGTGCGTTCTGATGCATATGTCCCTCTTGGTGCGTAATCGCCTAGTTCTAAGCCTCACTCAGCAGGTGTGGAAGGACAGGACAGACAGACAAACGGACGGACGGACGGAGTACTCATGGTTTGCCGATTAAAACTCTCCGAAGCTTCGCCCCACCATCATCATTCACTCCGTAGATATACGCAATTTTTTTTCTCTCGTCAGCTCTTTCTCTCTTTTTCCTCTCTGTTAATTTCCATTTCTTTTTAGATATACGAGTTGATTTTTTTCTTACTCTTCTGTCTTTCTTTCCCCTTGTTACCCTTATTCTGGCTCTCTCATCCTCGGTATTGTGCTTTTTTTCATTTTTACCCTTTTACTGTTAATTTTTCCTTTTTTCTTTCCTTCACTCTCTATTTTTCTTCTTCTTCTACTTTTCAATGTCCCTCTTTCAATATTTTTGTTACTTTCTCCCTCCCCTCATCCTTACATCTCTTCTCCCTTTCATTTGTCTATTGCACCTTTTATCTGCACTATACCATACTAGGCTATGCGACGTTCTGCTGGCTCGTAATTTTTGTCAAGTGGTTACAACGCTCATAAAGACACGGGGTTAAACGTGTTTTTATGCCGCCTCACCAAGAATTTTTGTTTTTTGCCACGATGTTATATCTTTGTCTTTCGTTCCATTTATTCTTTCTCTCTCAATTTTTCTCTTCCTTTCTCCCTGCGTACTTCGTGTTCTCGCCCATCAGTACTGCATCACGTGCCGGTTGAAATCGGCGTACGCGTTCTGGAATATAATTATAGGATGGAAAAGGGTGACATACAAGCGCGCGCGGGTTCGTGACAATAATAGTTTTCTTTTAACACCACACGGACTAATGGTCGCTGTAAATATAGTTCCACTGTTAAAAATGACTCATCCGTCTAAACTGACTTAATGTGTTCCTCTATACTTAAGTTATACCGTTAATGTGATTGTCAAATTACATTTTTTATAGCTGCTGGTCCAGCGTTAACGACAACACCGCGTTAACAAACTATGTATTGTGGCTTCGATTATACACTGAAGCAACGGGTCCGGGAGTAATCGGCTGTTCAATCTGACGAGGTCGGCCACCCGAGCAGCATACTGAACGTGCGGACGAAGTTGGGCACACCGACCTACCGCCACCACGATAAGAGTGTTGTATTTCGGACGGCGGTGGAAAGAAAAACGCCACCGCCATAACATCACAGGATCGAGTGCACTAGTGGAGGGAGGAGCGGAAAGGGAATGAGCCGATGGGTAATAACCGCGCGGTACAGTTGGGCTGGCAAGCTACGCGCACAGTCGGCGCAATGAACGTTCCAGCACCAACAGGTAAGCGAACGGAATTGATAATTATTCACGAATATAGTGAAGCACTACACGTGACATGCGCCGTTAAGAGTGGTGCTTTTTTGTATACGTGGACTTTCTGATTGCAGCTTTTTCATTCGCGAAGGAAACAATGCACTTCCTAGATCTTGCGTGTTTTTCTTTTATTAAGGGGCAGGGGGAGGGGTGGTTGTGATTTTTCATTTTTTCTTCGTTGTTTGTTTTTTTACACTGTTAAGTCATCTCAAACTTGTGAAAGGAATGATGAGAAGCTTACACACCAGTATCCCAGGTACGGAAAATCTGCTCATGATACTACTGCGCCGACTCCGAGAAAGTGCTGAGATTATATGTTGTAATATATCTTGTACGTTTTGTGTGCGTGCGTGCGTGTGCGTGTGTGTGTTTGAGTTTGTCCTTGAGTGTTATATGCGGGTGCAATTTGTATGACGTGTTCAGCGTTAACGTCACGCTATGATTGACATGCCTAGTAGAGGCTGCCCTCTACTGGGCCATTTTGACTACTGCCGCTCTCAGTTTATTCAATGAGCACCCAAATATCATCACATAGATACACAATAAAAAAACGTTTATAATTGTCCTTACTTCTTCATGCCAGAATAAGGCGATGTTAATGAATACGTGTCATGGTCGTGTTATATGCAAATGACTAAATAAAGCTACAGGCACCGACAATCCCCGCAGTGTTCTATGCGACCACCTTGCAAGTACCCGGGCACTGCCCACAGACTCTGCCTCTTATTTATAATAAGGGCAGCTGTACATTTATACACCAGAAATTGTTTGCGTACAGTGGTCACGGTTGAAAGAGGACCATTTCCGCACTTGCGTTCGTTTTCACCATCTGCACTTCGGGTCATATTCACGTATACTCGACCAGAACGTGTAGATTAGACACAACATAATCTTTATAGACCGCATTCGGCGCGACATGGCGAGGTTGTCTCGAGCAATAGCGCACATCAGTCATGTTACAAGAAAAGTTTTATTCCTGCTTTGAACGCGTGAGTACTGTACGTTGTGCTTCCGATTATTCTTTTCATATTCCGTTTCTTTTCAAGATTATCTTGTTTCTTGAGTGTTTTTTCAATACTGTTATAATATCATATTAGCGGGACAGCGGGCTCTAGTTATAATATCTGGAGTTTCATGTTCTTTCACCACGATATGATAAGAGAGATGCGGTATATAGTGAAGGGCTCCGGAATCTTTGACCATCTGGTGTGTTTGAAGCTGTACGTGTCGCGTGGACTTTTGTTGTGTTGTTCTGAGAGCCGTTTGCTTGACGACATGCAAAGGTAGCCATCGGGTATCTATCAATTCAAGCTGACGCTGCGAGTGACGTACCATCGCGCATAGCTGGAACCAGCAAGACAGTCGTCCACGGTGTGCCCCCGCTTCCTGGATTGGTACGACGAACTTGAGTGTAGCCATACACGCTGTCCACGGCGATCACTGCACGCAGACGTGCGTCTGCGCTGCAACATGCTCATCAAAGCGCGCCCTATGTCACGATTTCTCCTGTTCTGCACGTTTGAAACCTGCTTCGCAAGTGGCGACAGACGTATAGTGTCGTTAGAAAGCTAAAGAACACCCTACTCCAGCGTCATGATTCTCCACAGAGACCACCACTTTGGGAGGAAGTGGTAAACGCTTCGTCCTGCAGCCAGGCGCCTCTGCTGCCATTGAAATGCCTTCCACTCCAGTTCCAGAAGCTACCACGAGGAAACTCGACTAGCCGCAGCCCCAATACCCTCGGCGTTCGCGCTAGCTTCTGCTCGCCCGCAAATATTGTGCTCTACTGTCTGTGAACACCACGTGAGATCAAGGGACTTGGGCCCGTATTCACAAACCAAGCTCAACCTTTCCTCGAGTTTTCCTACTCGGTTTTAAACTTTTATTGCGCATGATAAACAAAATGAACCAGTCTTGTCCTTGTCTTTCGCCCTGTTACCATTTTTGTGCCTTTATAACGCATGTAGAGAGTACAGGAAGGTGAGGAAAACGTGAGGTAAGGCCGAGGTTGGTTTGTGAATACGGGCTTTGGTCTCACGTGGTGTTCAGGTGAAATATGTGTGACGCTCTAGCGTGCTTAGAGGGAACCAAACAAACAGTCAGTCGCAGTGAGCTTCCGCCTCCGGGATGAGTGCGATGAGCTTGTGTGAAGCCACAGACGCTGACTCGTGAAGACGGGGCCCAGCCATGTATATCTGAGCCGTGTGTTTTATAAATAGTTCGTTTAGTCCAGCGTTTTCCTTGGACTGGCTCGAGCCTCGCGAAGAGGTTCGCGGGACCATCAAAACCACTTCTCGTGATTCGTGCAAGTTGGGAAGTGGTTTCGAACGTGCCGATCAGTATAAATTGTGTCATGGGGACACACTTTGATGGGCATGTTGCAGTGCAGACGCCGGTTTGCGTGTAGTGATCGCCGTTCAACCAGTTGTCCTAATGGTAGCCGCATATCCACCACTTTCATTCTTGCTTCAAGAAGATCTGTCACAGCCAAAAGACACAATAGGGCTGCCAGGAACAAGTGGAAGTAGACAACAGCATCTATGCGGCTTCGACGCTGGTAAGGATCTCTAATACGCTTTCCGTGCTGTTCGCGAAGCTTCTGTGAAGAGCACGCACCAAACAGGCTAACCGTAGGTGGACGTGGCGCAGTCCTAACGGCAAAACTAAAAATGAAACAGACTTCATTCTTTCTGTACACCCAAGCTTTGCACTGGATATATGAGTAGTTACCAAGATCCGATGCAGTGACCATAAAATGGTAAGAGCACAAATTGACCTACATTTAAGAAAGCATTGACATAACGGATACGCAAGAAATCAGTTAAAGAGTTAGCGATGCGAGTCAAAGTACAGGAATTCAGAGTTTCATTTCAAAGTATATTCCAGGCACTAAACGAGCTAACCGACCTTATCGTGTACACAATGAAGGATGATTTTACTAGTATCATAAAAAAGTGTGCATTTGAAGTCGTAGGTAGAGTCAATATACGGGATACTGGAAAACTATCTCAGGAGATGAAAAATCTCATTAGGAGACTACAAACCATCAAGGTCTCAAATGCAACCGACAAAATAAAGCTGCTGGAGCTTTCGAAGTTAATCAATGGGCGTAGGATAGCCGACATCAGACGGTATAACATAAGCAGACTTGAGCTGGCTGTGAAGCGCGACAGAAGCATAATAGCTGTGAAGGCAAACCTGTGCGTAGACAAAACCGGACGTATGCATTAGAGACAAGGAAGGCAATGTCATAAACAATGTGGATGGGACAGTTGAGGTGGCGCAGGTTTTCTAGAGAAAGCTGTACAGAAGCCGAAACAACCAGGATGATATCGCAAAAAGCAATAATATATAGCCCAGAGAAATTCGACATCCTACCTGTAACGTCTGGGGAAGTAATGAAAACCCTATAGAAGGAATGCGAAGAGCTAGGAAAAGCCGCTTGTGTGGTTGAGGTAACAACGGACCTGCTGAAAGATGGCGGAGAAATTGTGTTAGGAAAACTGGTCACCTTGTGTATGAGGTGCCTCTTTACGGGAAGGGTACCAGAATTTTGAAAGAGCGCCAACATCACCTTAATTCACAAGTATGGAGACGTCAAGGACTGCAAAAATTACAGGCCGATCAACTTACTGTCCTTTCTCAACGGAAATATGTACAAAAATAATCGCTAATAGAATTAGGGCGACATCCATTCCATCAACTCATTCAATCAACTAAAGAACAAAGCAGGATTTCATACAGTCTACTCCACAACAAACCATATTCATGCTATCAATGAGGTGAGAGAAGAATGCGCGGAATGCAACCAACCGCTATATTGCCTTCAGAGATTACGAGAAGGCATTTGCTCAGTCGAGACATTAGCAGTTATGCAGGCGCTATGAAATTATGACTTTGAACAACCCTACATAAACATACTGAAAGAAATATACAGAGGATGCACAGCCACCATAGTTCTCCATAAAGAAAGCGACCGGGTCCCGATAAAGAATAATGTAAAGGAGATAGACACGACCTCTCCAACACTATTCACCGCGAGATGAAAGGGAGTTTTCATGGCCCTAGACTGGGAAGAGTTAGGCATAAGAATTAATGGGGAGTATCTTAGTAACCTGTGATTCACTGATATTGGCTTGATTAGTAACTCTGTGGACAAATTACAGCTAATAGTTGCTGAACTGAAAACAGCAGACGAATAGGTCTGAAGATTATCATGCATAAAAGTAAAGTACTATGCAACAGTTTCGGCAGAAAGAGCGCTTTGCGATAGGTGGAGAGACGCTGGAAGTTGTAAAGGAATGTCTACTCTACTTAGGATAGGTAGTAACTACGGATACCAACCATGAGAGCGAAATAACTAGAATAATAAGGATGGGGTGAATCACATTCAGCAAGCATTCTCAAACCATGAATCGTAATTACGAGAAGGCATTTACTCAGTCGAGACATTAGCAGTTATGCAGGCGCTATGAAATTATGACTTTGAACAACCCTACATAAGCATACTGAAAGAAATATACAGAGGATGCATAGCCACCATAGTTCTCCATAAAGAAAGCGACCGGGTCCCGATAAAGAATAATGTAAAGGAGATAGACACGACCTCTCCAACACTATTAACCGTGAGATGAAAGGGAGTTTTCATGGCCTCAGACTGGGAAGAGTTAGGCATAAGAGTTAATGGGGAGTATCTTAGTAACCTGTGATTCACTGATATTGGCTTGATTAGTAACACCGGGGACAAATTACAGCTAATGGTTGCTGAACTGAAAACGGCAGACGAATAGGTCTGAAGATTAGGTCTGAAGTACTATGCAACAGTTTCGGCAGAAAAGAGCTTTGCGATAGGTGGAGAGACGCTGTAAGTTGTAAAGGAATGTCTACTCTACTCAGGATAGGTAGTAACCAGGAATACCAACCATGAGAGCGAAATAACTAGAAGAATAAGGATGGGGTGAATCACT